AACTCTTTCACCAGTATTTGTTTGATGAGCACCGGCTCCGATACCATTAGGATAGGCTTTCCCCGTTACAGTCTCACTCTCTGTTAAGTTATGCGTATAAATAAATTTGAATAATTAAATGAACATGCTTAACATTTATTGCGATTCAATTACAGCAAATGGCATCGTATAGTTCATTACTGGTCGGACCGCAACATCTCTGGCCCAAAACCCATACCATATTTTGGCAATTGGTTGGCTAACTTCGTAACGCCCGCGCCATTAGTGGACACGGAGTGGTATAAGACATACGGCCGACTCTTTGGGTAAGTATATTATCATTAAAAAAGCAATTACTGCTAAAAGTATATATAAAAAACATATGAAAACATTTCCATAGTATATCACTTGCGGGGAAAGCCTATCCTAATGGTATCGGAGCCGGTGCTCATCAAACAAATACTGGTGAAAGAGTTTTACAAATTCCGGAACCGACCGAAGCCGGTGGACAGACCGCACGATTCGGGCGAAATCCTATTTGACGCCAGGGATGACCACTGGAAACGGATCCGAGCCATAGCCAGTCCGGCGTTCACATCGGGTAAACTCCGGCGTATGTATCCACTCATCGACGAGTGTTGCCGCGACTTTTTGGCCGCACTCGACCGGGACGTCGTGTCCGCCACGAGTGGTCACCTGGAAGTGGATATCAAGCGAGTGATGAGCGCATTCACAATGGATGTGATCGCCAGCACATCGTTCGCCACCAAAACCAACACCTATTCAGACCCTAACAACCCGTTCATTACGACAGTAAAGGGTATTATAGATAAAAATCGTTGGCAAATACTGTTGGACACAGTGTTGCCCACATTTATGACCCAAAACCCGGTCTATAAGCCGCGCACAAGTGATGGCACATCTGGTTTCGCGTTTATCATCGATGTTAGTCGACGGTTAATATCTGAGCGCAAAAAGTCTGGTCACAAACGCCACGATTTGTTGCAATTATTAATCGATGCCGAGAAAGAGGCCGACAATAGTAGTAGTAATGAGACCGTAAAGTCTGGTCCGAAGTCTACGGCCACCACCGATGCCGTCGACACCGGCGGACATCACGTGAACAAAGGGGTCGACGAACTGATGGCAGAGAAACAGGCGTTGAGTGGAGTCGCGGCCAAGCGGTTGACCGAAGCGGAGATCGTCGCCCAATGCCTACTGTTTTTTATCGTCGGTTACGAGACAACGGCCACAACACTGTCGTACTGTACCTACGAATTGGCACTCAATCCCGACATTCAGGACATGTTGGTGGCGGAGACCGCGGAGGCTGTCGACGAAGACACGGGTGACATAGACTACGAGACCCTTTGCCGACTCCCATATCTGGACGCCGTTATATCGGAAACTCTACGCCATTATCCGACATCTCTGAGACTGGAGAGGGAGGCCATGGATGAGGTGGTGCTGAGCACCGGTGGGTCTGACCTAAAGTGTGACAAAGGGGTTGTTGTGAATATCCCGGTTTACGCCATACATCACGATCCCGACCACTATCCCGACCCGTTTGCCTTCAAACCCGACCGATTTTTGGCCCACAATCGTCATCACATCAAACCCTATACATACCTGCCATTCGGCGCCGGACCCCGTAATTGCATTGCCATTAGGTTTGCTTTGTTGGAAGCTAAACTGGCCATGGTCAAACTCGTAAACCAATTCCGCTTCTACCGAGTGCCCGACACCGATGTACCTGCTACTTTCTACCCAGGTCGTAATGTTATAACAGCCCAAAGGCTTATTCTGGGCGTCGAGAAACGTTAAATATATTAGATATGTTTTTTGTTGCTTGATCAATTTTACTTTTTTTGTTTGTAGTTTTAACTAATGATATTTAGTAAGTTAAATAATGCAGGTACTAATATAAATAGTTATGTATTACAATTAAATATAATAATTGTTGTAGATGTTGTTGTCGCTTTAAATATCCAATACATAATATATTTTTAATAAAGTTGTTTTATTGTACAATTAAATGTTTTATAATAAATAAATGTTTAGATAAAAAATTGCTATATATTTTGACCCCCAATTTAACTTAAATATAATTAACCATGCAAATAATTGTTTAAAATATTTTATATAAGATACAAATAAATTAATTTTGTAAATTTTACAATATTAACAAAATTAAAGTATATAAAATAATCTTCGTACATACACATGCCAAAAAAATTAATTGATTTGATTTATATAAATCAATATTAAGTTTTTATTATAGATTTACAGTTCACTATTCTAAACAATATTAAACTTATGTGATGAT